TGTTTGGCACCTGATCAAGCTAGAGCTTCGCGGAAAAACGAGCGTGTTGCCCGTCACGAGACGAAGCCGATGATACCCAATTCTAAGGTCCTAGGTCATTGGTTGACGGTCAGGTCAATGACCCAAAAGTCGGGAAAATTGGGACCTGTTAGAAAGTCGTAAAGTGTGGCTGCCGTTTTTTTGGGTGCTGATCACGAATATTGTGTTAGTTTTGATCACAGATGATTTCTTTAAGCATTTAGACCAGGTCGGGTCAGGTCAGGTCAGGTCGACCAGTAGGGGTCGTGACGTGGGTATTCGTAGTAGGTGTCAACCGCCTCTGACAGCTTCGTAACATGTTACGAAGGCACCAAAACTACTTCGTAAATGTTCAAATGGTTTGTCAATTCGAATTCAGCTCCAAAAACTAGCCTAGAAACATGTAAAACTCGAAAAAGTGAACCGAGGTCACCAAAAGGTCAATGACCTGACCTGACCTTCAGGTGACCTTGACATCCACCCTAATGCATGGGAGCAGCATCGAATCACATGTTTGAACGTTTGAAACCACGAAAAGCTTGTAAACGCGCGGCTAATGCGAGCCGACATACGCCGAATCGCGATTCCGGCGAAACATGGCCTCGAGAAATAGGTCACAGGCAAAGGTCACTTGGGTGAGGGTCATGAACTTTTGAGAGTAGGTGTAAAATTGATCAATTCGAGGGTACTGAAAGTTCTACTGGCTGACCTGACCTGACCTGACCCGAGCTGGCCGAAATGCATAAGGACATCATCTGTGATTAAAACTAACATGATATTCGTGATCAGCACCCCCAAAACCCCGTAGCAGCCACACTTTACGACGTTCTAACATATCCCGATTATCCCGACTTTTGGGTCATTTACCTGACCTGAAAGGTCAACCGATGACCTAGGACCTTAAGATTGGGTATCATTGGCTTCCTCCCGTGACGGGCAACACGCTCGTTTTTTTCCTGCGAAGCTTAGCTCGATCAGGGGCCAAACGCGAGGGGGGGGGGGGGTCGTACAGTCGTGTACAGGTTGATGGTCCCCTACTCTTTATCCACCGGGTTCCTATGGCTCAGCATTGGCAGCAGCCGCCTGGTACCGGTAGGCTGTGCCGCATGACCCGAGAGTGAAGCGGCACAGTCTACCCACGCCGTTTGACATCGGCTCGGGTCGCCGGGTGGAGCGCTTTGTAGACCAGCTGTTGCGTCAGACCAGCGCGGGGGGAGGGGCTCGTCTCGGTGGTTGGCGTGGGCTGGCGAGTGGTGTGGGGCGTGTTGGTGGACCATGGGGGCTGGGCGGGGGTGTGTGGTCACTTGCTGCATTGCACATTTTGCGTCGCTTAACAATTGCATTCCTGTTTTTGCTAGGCACAATGCACGGAAGATCCAGCGAATATAATTTACTTTACTTGTGCATTGTGCAAAACGTGATTTGGCACGGTATCGAGGCAACCATTGGTCTTGTGCCTATGCATGATATTTAGGCAATACGTTTATGAAAACGGTAGACTGATGCTGGAAGTCAATTCGTATTGCTAAATGTCGGCACGTATTAAATGAATGAATGAATGAATCAATCAATCAATCAAACAATCAATAGACATGTATAAAACCGTTTAAATGGCTCGCAACCACTAATAGCAATCACACCATCCTAACTCGGAAAAGCAGCCGGAGCCCTGATGAGGCTCGAGCCGGGACTCCACGCTGTAAATTTTGCCAATGATCCATCATCATTCCACCAAGCTAGAGTAACCGGCACCCGAACCCACAAAAACATCAATTGACTTTGCCGCCGACCTCCCGGCCCCGCCGCCGCGTGTTTCTTTTTTCCAACCAAAGGAAGGCGCTATACCCGAAGATGCTTCTTGGTAAACAAACCAAACAAAAACAAACATAACCTAACCTCACCTGACCTAACCTACAACCTACAACCTAACCTACAACCTAACCTACAGACCTACAACCTACAAACCTACAACCTACAAACCTACAACCTAACCTACAACGCGCCAAAAAGTTCGGCCGGCGGCGGGGATCGAATCCTAGTTATTAGATCACGAGGCGAGTGTGCTCACCACTACACCACGCAGCCAGCTGGCCAGTGAGAGGTGTAAGTCACTTTTCAATGACGCAATGGGATATTCTCCGTATAGCGCCTTCCTTTGGGTGGAAAAAAGAATTACGCCCCGCCGCCCGCCCGGCCAGACTTCATGCCCCGGCCATAGCCACCATCCGGTGTAGCTCAGCGTAGGAGTGCTCAACTGTCAAACTGACCGGCAGTGAGGGGCCCGGTTCGAAACGCTTCGGATGCTGGATGTTTATTTCTCGGTGGGAGGCTTTACGTTTAGTCCACTTTTCAGAAAGATCATTTGGTGGCTGACCTGTTTTCTTTCTTTGCTGCAATTCATGAGGAGACCGTATGCACCCTTACCTGTCCTTCCGCACCCCACTTGGGAGATGGGTGGTTGCCCCTCCCATGGGTTTGTGAATATCTCTAAAACAAATTTTTGGAGGAGGGATACGATCGGTTCTATGCGACAAGTGACCACACACCCCCAGCCCCAGGTCCGCTCACTCTCTACCCATATCACCCCCTCCCCACACCACACTCCAGCCCGCCTCATCCACCGAGCCGAGCCATAACGAGCCTCAGCGCCCCGGGGCGCGACCTGTCAGCGAACACTGTACCTATATATAATAACAGTGACAATATATCAAATCCGTGATCTCCTCTATGAATGTCGTCTCGCAGCGGCGCCAGCTCGCGCCGCCTCGATGTCCCCGAAGCCTGGACGCGCCCCTGCCCCCGCGGCGCACGCAACCGCCGGCCCGCGTCCCCGCCGGTTCGCTGACAGGTCGCGCCCCTGGGCGCTGAGGCTCGTTATGGCTCGGCTCGGTGGATGAGGCGGGCTGGAGTGTGGTGTGGGGAGGGGTGATATGGGTAGGGAGTGAGCGGACCTGGGGCTGGGCGTGTGTGGTCACTTGTCGCATAGAACCGATCGTATCCTCCCTCCAAAAATTCGTTTTAGAGATATTCACAAACCCATGGGGGGGGGGGGCAACCACCCATCTCCCAAGTGGGGTGCGGAAGGACAGGTAAGGGTGCATACGGTCTCCTCATGAATTGCAGCAAAGAAAGAAAACAGGTCAGTCACCAAATGATCTTTCTGAAAAATGGACTAAACGTAAAGCCTCCCACCGAGAAATAAACATCCAGCATCCGAAGCGTTTCGAACCGGGCCCCTCACTACCGGTCAGTTTGACAGTCGAGTCGAGCACTCCTACGCTGAGCTACACCGGATGGTGGCTATGGCCGGGGCAAAGTCTGGCCGGGCGGGCGGCGGGGCCGGGAGGTCGGCGGCAAAGTCAATTAATGTTTTTGTGGGTTCGGGTGCCGGTTACTCTAGCTTGGTGGAATGATGATGGATCATTGGCAAAATTTACAGCGTGGAGTCCCGGCTCGAGCCTCATCAGGGCTCCGGCTGCTTTTCCGAGTTAGGATGGTGTGATTGCTATTAGTGGTTGCGAGCCATTTAAACGGTTTTATACATGTCTATTGATTGTTTGATTGATTGATTCATTCATTCATTCATTCATTTAATACGTGCCGACATTTAGCAATACGAATTGACATCCAGCATCAATCTACCGTTTTCATAAACGTATTGCCTAAATATCATGCATAGGCACCAGACCTATGGTTGCCTCGATACCGTGCCAAATCACGTTTTGCACAATGCACAAGTAAAATAAATTATATTCGCTGGGTCTTCCGTGCATTGTGCCTAGCAAAAACAGGAATGCAATTGTTAAGCGACGCAAAATGTGCAATGCAGCAAGTGACCACACACACCCGCCCAGCCCCCATGGTCCACCAACACGCCCCACACCACTCGCCAGCCCACGCCAACCACCGAGACGAGCCCCCCCCCCCCCGCGCTGGTCTGACGCAACAGCTGGTCTACAAAGCGCTCCACCCGGCGACCCGAGCCGATGTCAAACGGCGTGGGTAGACTGTGCCGCTTCACTCTCGGGTCATGCGGCACAGCCTACCGGTACCAGGCGGCTGCTGCCAATGCTGAGCCATAGGAACCCGGTGAATAAAGAGTAGGGGACCATCAACCTGTACACGACTGTACCAACCCCCCTTGTGCCGTCGAGAGACGCAAAATGGCCTCTGCTGGCGAGGGCTAAGTCAATAAATTTTCGTCAATGCCATTTGTGTTAGAATGTGGAATGTACTTACCTATAAGTATTCACAATACCTACCTATTAGATGATCATTTCTTCTATAAGATAAACAAGTAAGAAGCGCTAGTCTTACTTATGTTTACAAATATTTGACTTCAACCATGAGAATGTCGGCCGCCGCTGGGCCGGGGTAAGTTGAAACATGACCGCCCATTGCCCAAGGATGCTTATTGACGTGCACCATTTCACCTGCTCCCGAATTTCATGTGATCGTGGGGGGTGAGCGGAGCGGCTGTTCCCGTCTGTTTGGTTGGTGGTGCTACCTGGCGGCCGGCCGGCAACGCGTCATAAGACGGCCAACCGCCAGACGGCGCTAATCTCACTCCCTTGTACGGAAACTCCGCTTGCCAGGATGCGCCTGTGTGGGCTCGTATCTCGCAAAGTGAAATCAGAAGCTTAATACGATTCCTATTACCTATGTATGTGGTTGAAGATAGATTTAGCGCTCGATAAACCCAAGATCACAACAGTAACATGGTACCCAATGACTGACGAGGTAAGAAAAGCTACCCTCTTGATATTTTTTTGTCATTGCAGAAAAAATGAGCGAGTGAACGTTTTGGGAAACATGCCAAACGGTGACATCTGTGGTCAGGTCAACTGCCCCAAGGTACGAGCACAGTTTCTGGTGAATAAATTCGTCAAAAATGACCGCAGAACCGCAGTATTAGCACCATCGGGTCATTTCCTCATTTTGCACCCTTCAAAAACTGAAGAAATTCATAAGACAAAAACATAAAAAGAAAAAAGAACTCATTCATCTAAGGTTGAAAAATGAGGCCACAGGCACACATCGATACTTTTTATTGGCGTTATCGACTTTTAATTCAGTCGGCGCTGTTGTATGAGCATCTGAGACAACGCTCCTTCCCCAACAATAAAAACAATACACTGGTCGACTCCCACCCGAGACCTTCAGCTGCCCTACAGGGTTCAGCTGAGTCGCAGCGACACAACGAACAACGCTTGAAACATGTGATTTCGGGATCATGGAAGCATCCGATGAGACCACCCTCCTGTCACACAACCGAGCGCACTATGTGGATCAGAAAAAGCGGCATCGGTCAGCGCCGACCGCGTCCGAACGTCTGTCGGCGACCAGACTCCGTCTGCCACGGCTTCTTCTTGCGCCCGGCGGCGCTGGCACCGCGCTGGCCACTGGCCGGACGGCCGGCGTCCTCGCGTCGGCCGAACTTGGTGTAGTCGACACCCGAGTAGTCGAACGCCGGAACAGCTGGCGCGCCGGCCTGGCTGGCGGGACCACCCCCCGCGCCGCCCTCCGCACTGCCCCCGCCCCTCTTCCGCTTGTGCGCCTTCCTGTAGGTGCCAGCCTTTTTCTGCTCACGGACAAGGTCCTTGCGCGACAGGCGGAGGTTCTTCGGTGCCGGTGGCTCTGGCTCCTCTTCAGCCTCAACCGTCACCTTGTTGACGTCCTCTGGCCCCTGTTGGGGCAGCACGGCCTCCGGCGACGGCGGCGGTGACGGCCGGTGGCTGGTCGGCGGCGGCCGACGGGTCGGTGTCTGTTCCGTCAGCTCGTCCATGCGGCGCGCTACCTTGTCGTCGCCCACAGGAGCGGCCATCATCAGGTAGCGCCGATACGGGCTGATCCAGGTGGAGCCGACAGCTGATGGTCTGGCCGCCTCTGCAGGTCGGACGTCCAGCTGGGGCCGGCGCTTGGTGGCCGCCCGCGCGCCAGCGCAGAGAGGCAGCGCCGCTGTCGACTGGCCGCCGCCGGCCGCAGCCGCTGGTGAGAGCAGTACAGGCACGTTGGCGCTGTCGCCGTCAGTCAGGTGGCTTGTGTCGTGCGGGCTGTGCCGGTCACTGCTGCGCTCGGCGCCACACGACCGGGACGGCGCCTGCACGGCGATGGCGGGCTGCGGCCGCGGCTCGGTGCCCGTGTGCAGGCGGCGCGCGGCCAGCACCAGCTGGTGCACGGCCGCCAGGTGGGCGCGCACCAGCGGCGGCACCGGGCTGCAGCAAGCCAGCACGCCCTGCATCTCGCGCGGCAGCAGCTCGGCCATCTGCAGCAGCATGTGGCTGGGCAACACGTACTGGGTGCTCTCGTCTTCCAGGCGCGCCAATTCGTCGCGCCATTTGAACAGCTGCTTCAGGGCAGCTAGCTGTCTGCTGTCGAACGACTTCTTGCTGCGTCGGTACAGGTCCAAGTGGCTGTCAGGCCGCAGAATCGGCTTACTGTACCGCTTCAGACAGATCAGTGTGCTGCTGGTATAGACGCTGCGTAGCAGGTTCTTCTGCTCGTTACCCTTCTGCAGCAGGAGATTGCGCAGGCGGTCGTATATGTAGAGCAGATAGTGTGTGTCGGTCTGGGCGTAGCGGATCATGTCCTCTGGCAGGGGCCTTATGCGCCAGTCAGCCAGCTGAAGCCGCTTATCGGCGGTCACGTTACAAAAGTGCTGCAGCAGGTATGCCAGCGAGAGCCGCGGCAGTGCCAGCACTTTGCTGGCCTGGTGGGTGTCGAACATGTTGACCACGTACAGGCCGGCGTCGCGCTGCAGCCACTCGACGTCAGAGTCCGCGCCGTGAAAAACCTTGACAATGTTGGGGTTGGCAAACACCTCGTTAAGGGGCTGCAGCTGGTCGCGCAGCTGCAGCGGGTCGACGATGTAGTCGCGGTCGCGGGTGGAGAGCTGCATCAGACACGTCAGGCCCAGGTAGCTCCGGTAGCTGTGGTGCTCCAGGTCGACGGCCAGCTCGCGGCACCGGCCGAGCTCTGCCACCAGCCGGCGCAGGCCGTCCGCAGTGTCCACCAGTGTCACGGGCGTCTGCTCGGCCGGCGCCGGCAGCAGCGGCTCGGCGGCCGGCTCCAGCGCCCAGTCGGCCGGCGCGAACCGCTCCAGCTCGAACTCGTAGGGGTGCGAGAACCTCTCGCGCCCCTCGTCGTCCAGCTCCAGCAGTATGGCCAGCGGCCGCAGCGCGTGCGGCTTGTCGCTGATGATGGGCTCGAAGGGCGCCGGCGAGTTGTCCACCTTGCGGCGGAAGCTGAGCTGCGGCCGCTCGATGTTGGTGGCCGTCGTCAGGCGGATGGTGGTGGCGCCGGGCGCCGCCAGAGTCCTGTTGGTGGAGACGTTCCAGCGGCCGCTGAGCTCTCGGTCCGCAGTCGCGCTGACCGTCTGCACCACTGCCTCCAACTTCCGCTTGATGCCGGCGGCCTCGTCCAGATCACTGTTAATCTTCTCTAGAAGTTGGTCGTTGGCCTCAACAACCATGTCAAACGCCTCATCCAAGTCCCGGTCGAAGAATGCCCCACCGACGTTGTACTTTTTAAACACCTTTCCAATTAATTCAGTGCACTTCTTTCCCTCCATGTCCATGATCCTCTTGAAAGCCGGAAAACTGGAGTACAGTGCAAATGTCTCATCGCAAGGAATCTCGTTGGACAGCTTGGTGACGCTACTGATTTCCTTCAGAGTGGCCTGAGACAGCACATCGATATCTTCATGGTGATTGCTTACAGCTTTTGAGCTGCTTCCCTCAGACATTTTCTCCTGCTCAGATTCCATGCCTTAAAACCTTGCTTGCTTGCTTGCTGGGCTATAACGCGCAGACTTGATACCAGACGTCAAAGTCCTTCCACCTGCACGTGGCTTGCTCATGGAATGACCGCACATCGATGCTTGCGACCAGGCCGTAGTCACTGCAATACCTGTAACGTGTTCGGGTTTGATGACATGACAGTGTGAACATAATATGATGAACATTTTCTGAGGCAATAACTTGAATTGTTTGTTTATATTGTTTAAGGATTATTTGCAAAGTTGGGGAATGTCGATTACTTTATTTAAAAAATATAATTTTCATATCTGATTTTATTTCAAAAATACTTTTCAACTCCTGCCAGTGTTCACACTGTGACGTCAGCTTGCCTGGGCATAATTTCTAGTGACGACTGAATCCACCTGGTTTTTAAACCTCGCCGGCCGAGAAGGGAGCGAGGGGGAGGGGCGGTGCCGCTTTCGCAGCTCGGAACACGCCGGCGATAGAGGGCTAAAACTTGGCATATCTGAGCATTGATTCCAGCAGGATCTTGTAACACTGACCGCGTTTTCAGATCAGGTCAGGTCACTGACCTATGACGGCATAAGTGATTAGTGAACCTCTGCATGGTCCTCAGATGTCGCAACTTTGCAAAGCCCTCAGCGCCAAAGGAACTTTCACAGAGAGATAAAACTTAGAAGACGCAGTATCTTGTACATGTCTCACAACTTGTATATCACGGTTTTCCTTAAGGTCACATGGGGTGAGATCGGTCAGGTGACCTCACCATTACAAGTTACGGGAATATGGAAAATGTTATTTTGGCGCCGGGAATGATCTAAATTCTGAAATTACCTCAAGCACATGGAATCGTGATTTCACGCACTCTTTGGTGGATCCGATGCTTCACGTTTGCCATAAGAGTTTTTCGTCAATAGCTCCCGATCAAATTGAGCTAGAGAGTCGAGAAAGCCACCAGTGGACTCAAGAATACATGCCGAATCGAATGATATGCGATATGAACTCCGCCCAGCTTCATGACCTGAGGGTCTCTGAATCGACCTTGACCCGAGGCCAACACCTTAATTTGACCTCACCCGAACAAAAAGTATGCCATTCGAGGCGCCTGAGCTAGGCAAATACAAATATGCCAAATTCGCCGCTTTGCGGCCATTTTTTTTGCAAAGTTATTTACCCAAAACTGAATCCGTGACTTGGGCCACCTACTTGACCTCAGAGGTCACTGAGTGAGCTGGGACCTCTAAATCAGGTACCAAGTACCAACCGCTGCGTCTCGTAACGGCGCATACACTGTTTCTTCCGCGAGGCTCTAGCTCCACTAGGGTCGCCTATTCTGATTGGATTTTTGGAGCCACCTATTTTGACTTTAGTGCTTTCTGATAACATACTCGTAGAATTGGTAAAGAACCTTCATGGTGAACGGTTGGCCAGGATTGATCATAGTTTCCTGGTTAACTAGGTATTTTATTCTGTCTAGGTACGGTCAAACCCAAAGACAGCCTTGCAAATGTTCCAAACTTTAATAAGGCTAGCTTAAAAATTATTAGAATCAAACTATAACAGGTTAATTGGCATCAGAGACTTTTAGACTGAAAAGCTTCTCAAGCATGGAATGGAATAGATGGAAGCATGGAATGGAAAGCATGGAGTAGATATTATATGACATTCACTATTCAGCTCAGTCCAGATGTACCTTTACCAATGAAAGTTAAACGATCTAGAAGAAAAATGAAACCCTCCATGGCTTACTCCAGAGGTCAGAACTGCTGTAACATGCAAGAATGCTGCTTTTCAGACAACAAAGATGGGTGCATTTCTAGAATCAGATGGGATTGATTACCTACAAGAAGTGTAGAAATTCGCTTAAGAAAAAAGTCAGGCCTGTTCCAGTGCCTCCAGTAGACTTTTTGACTGGAGGCTCTTCCAGTAAGTTTTACTGGAGGTGCTAGAATGCAATCTGGGGATCTCTGGTGATTGATGTCAGGTATACAAAAAATATAATTCACTCTTGAAAAACAAAATTTCCATTGAATTCAATAAGTAAGATTTTAACAATTATAACAATATGTTCTTTACATTTGAGTTCTAAAAAACTGTCAAAAGTCCTTTGCTTAAGTTAGTATTGTCACCTGCGCTGTTATTGTAGACCAGAGCCTCCAGTCAAATGTGGGTTTTGCAACTAACTGGAAGTCGCTGGAGGTTTCTCGAGATTTGCCAAGAGCTTACTGGATCTGGAGGCACTGAAACACTGATTGGGAGAATTCTGGAGGCTGGAGCTTTCTGGAGGTGCTAGAACAGGCCCATAGTGACAGCAAAATAACAGAACTACAAGTTATCAGTTTCACTCAATATGTGCAATTAAAAACATGGATGATACTGAGTCACTTCTATCTCAGATGGGTACTGGTGCAGATGGAAGGGTTGGAAACTTGGGCGAGATAGGCTGTGGCTTTGTTCAAGGGTAGGTACCTATCTACGCTACATTGAGACATTCAGGGCCCTGTTTCACCAGTGATAGCAGCACGCTGCTTTTACATGTGTCAAATTGGGTTTCCATGGAAACATCAACAGGCCCATTGCTCCAACACTACCACAAGTGTGACGTCAGCTCGCGCAATTTGAAAGCAGCGTGGTAGTAGCGTCCTGTGATGGCTGTGAAACACCGCCCAGGTCAAATAAATCATTATTTTTTTTTTACTTTAGGACTGGTCACCAACTTGTAGCAAAGCACTGCAGTGCCAAAGGCAATGCCTAAGAAGAAATTAGACTTTACAGGCAATGGTAAGTCAAATATTTTTAGGTTAAGTGGTTGTGCATCATGCTTCAGGCCGACTTACCATTGCTTTCAATCTATTCATGTGAGTAACTTCTTCTTTATCTATGGGCAGGCAAAATCTTTTATCAGTAGGTCCGGTTTGGTAAGGTTTGAATGTTTCGTTTAAAAAATTTGTGACATGTAAGGATCATATCTGGATTTAGGATGTCAAAAAATGGAATAATGTGTAAAATTTACCTATGAAAAGTGAGTCGGTCCTTCAGTAAATATTTACCAGATGTGTACCGATTGCGAATGTTTTTTTGATGACTGGAATCAAATTACCTTTGTCAGATTTCATGCATGATGCAGCCACAAAACTGGAAGTCTATAGAATCAGGGTTACTTTTACAGGAAAAGTTGAGAGGGGGAATAAAGTTCGGGGCAAAGGCGGATCCAGGGGCATCTGAAAGGGGGGTGGGCGGCAATACCATTAGGTTTTTCGTTAGGATGGAGCCCGCAGAACCTTACCTACCCCCAAATCCTATTCTTTCCTCGGGTTTCAGCCACTTTATTTTGGAAGGTTACCAAAAAATAATTTTGCTAAAAAATATACGCACCTACCTTGGCTGTAAGGGGCGGGGGAGGTCCCAACTTGACTGCGCCCTTGCAAATGCCAATCAGTAGTATCAACCTATCAGTGGTATCAATAACTAGTAGGTATACCCCGGCCAAACATTAAGTAACGCCTTTCTAAAGAGAGAGGTCAATCCGCGCCCTGATTGGAGGTCATTTTGGCCCCCATGTGGGTTTTCTTGAAAAGCGAAAAACGGCGGCGGCGCCGCCGGCCAAATTTTTAGTGCCTTACCGGGCATCAATTTGAAACCTTCGCACAAAATTTCAAGTCTTAGGTCACCTTAGGTCAGGAGTAATTGATGTCAAACTGTTCGAGCAAAAATGAGCAAAAAAACATGAAATTCTTAAACGCTCACAAAAGCTACAGTTAACGAGCAATTCCAAAGTTCTTTGTGTGGTCGTGTATGTAGAGAAACGACGGCGCTACAAAACTGCAACCTCTACAACTACAAGGTGGGCAGTGATATCCGAACAAAAACTAATGAAGCACAAAACTTGAATTATTACTATTAGTATTAGTGAGCAGTGAAAGTTCCATTGGGAAAGCCGGCTGTGATGAGGTACATTTTTTTTTGCGCCCTGCTCTGCATGCAAAGCAGATGAACATGAATGCTGCATAAAGAGAAAAGTCATTTATTACTCAAAGCTTTAATGCCTATGGGACAAAAATAACGTTGTTTTTCCTTCAATGATTCCGGTTTGGAGGATGGTTAAACACGGCCATTGTCATATTGGGACAAAAATTTTAGATGTCTGGCCTTGGCGTCGATGAAAAAGTGAAAATAATCGTGAATAAATGGGTCGTTTCTGAGAAAGAACACAGAATATAAAAGGGGGTCCAAAAGGGGGTCACCTTCTTTTTGCGTCAAAGGAGGGGCCATGGCCCATTGCCCCCCTCCCCCTGTATCCACCCTTGGTTCGGAGAGGTAATCCCGTCCCCCGCCGGTTTCTACGCCGACGCCTGTACCGATATGTCAGTGATTGCGAAAAGACGGAAGAGACAAGACAAGAGACGGTCCCACCGACTATCCGATCGGTATCGGGTCAAATCTGGAGTTCCTGCTGCACTGAACGTAAAATGGTTGGATGGAACCGAAAATTGAAAATTAATAATTATCTTAACGCCAGCAACGTTGATTGATGACGAGAATCTGATTAACGATGGCTATAGAATCTGAATAGCGAATTGATTGAAAATGGGCTCCAAAATAAATTTGAAAGGGGGAAATTCCCCCTTCCCTCCCTAGCCATTCAGACACGATTTGAAAGGGGGAGCGGAATTTTCGAAGGGGGGAAATTCCCCTCTTCCCCCCCCTTTAAAAGTAACCCTGTATAGAATTATAGATGGTTCTGGCTTTTGGTATTTGTATTTATCACCTTACCCTTGGCTGCAAAGTCGACAAGATCCACGGCTACAGCAGTTTATATAACTCAAAACTCTATAGGAATCTTGACTCAAACTACCTAGTACCTATACTAGAATAGAATCTTGACTCAAACTTGACTCAAAACCTCTTTTTTTTTTTTTTTTTTTTTTTTTTTTTAGTGGCCCTAACTTACGTTACCGGCCTCGCGAGGAGGGCGGCGACCTAACTACGCCGCGCAAAACAAACCGGCCGTCCTAACTAAGACCGGTGGCCACTTTTACAGCAAGACAACATGGGAAAACCCATATCCATGTACTATGCCATGAATATGGGAAAAAACCCATGAATTTACGTTAAGACACATAAATGACAGTGAAACTTACCGGTAAATTGATGTTTGTGAAGGGAGGGAAGGGGGAAGTTTGTGAATGGTAAGGTTACGAGAGTTTGATGACAGGAATGGTTTGAAGAGTGGGGGATATGTCGCTGGGAGGGATGGGGTTTGTGAATGTTTAAGCGTCACGATGAAAGGAATGGTTTGGAGGATGGGGAATCTGTCGCTGCTGCAGTTGGCGGCCGACGGTTGTCTGTGGTCGTTCAACCCGGCCGCCGCCGCTGTTCAGCGGCCGGGGTCCGCTGGTGTAGCTCGCTGGGCCGCTGAGCCTCTAAGCCTGCTCCAGCGGCAGGAGAAAACCCGTCTGCCACCGAAGCTCTGTGTTTCGGCACCAGCGAAAAACCCGACCCATCCCGTATCACAAGTCAGCCTGGTGGTAGCGAAACGGGCGCCTGCTAACAGTCAAGGCCGTTAAAGTAGCTCTGAGTAGGGTGATGTTAGGACGAAATCAAGTACCAGGTTTGTCAATGTTGTGTCGTCCCCGAGAAGCGTCGGGAGGTCGTTTTTAAGGTGTTGTACCGCAAGATAGTTAGTGATGTGTCTTCGTTCGTGATGCAATGCCGTGCATGCGATCAAAATGTGCTCTACGGAGATGCGTGTGTCGCAGGTTCAAAACAGCATTGCTCATGCGCCATAGACAGCCTTGCGTGCGCCAGGTATATCTAATTAGGAACCTGTTCAAGTATCTGCGGTCAATAAGGCGGAGCGTAGCTAACGGGCCAATCAGGACGGCGGCAACTGTCATGTGTGTGTCGCCTGATTGGCCCGTTAGCCTTCTTGACCGCGGGGCCCTGTTTCACCGGTGATAGCAGCAAGCTGCTATCACGTTTCGCGAGCTGACGTCATGTCGTGACGCCATACTGTTGTCGTAATGGGTAGTTCCGGCGCACGATTGCCGCGACCTTGGCGGCGGCATTAAGTGACGTATGAGCCTAAAAGTAAGAGTTTACGCAGTCATGATAGTATATATATTTTTGATATATATTTTTTCAATATGATGTATTTAAAAGAAGCTGGGTTTAGGAAAAATTTTGACATAAATTTCGAACATTTAGCTGATGACGTAAAACAATATTGCGGCAATCGTGCGCCAGAATTGCCCCTTACGTCAGCAGTATGACGTCATCACATTACGTCAGCTCGCGCAATTTGATAGTAGCTTGCTGCTATCACCGGTGAAACAGGGCCCCGGAGCCGCGGCGGTCGCAGACACTTGAACAGGACCCTATAGATCAGAGATCAAAGAACACTAAAACGCTGCAAAATGAATATTTGATTGACTATTGCTTTTCCCCTGCATTCTATTTTTCGGAGCAGCTTTTTCCTAATCCTTGGTAAGCAATAAGCATTCAGCTAGGCTAGGGAATGATAGATAAGGTTAAGCAATCTATTTTTTTGTAAGGTCTATTTTATTTCAACCAATTTATTCTTTTATTTTATGGAATTTTGCAGCCTTTTTCAACGTTACAATTCTGCCGCACTTTGCAAACAAGGCGCATAACAACACAAACACAAATGGTATCGCTTGGGCGAGACTTGGGCGAGTCAAGACTCAAGAGCCCTGATCTGATCGGCGGCCGGCTAGTACTCTTGCCCGCGCTCACATACGTGCACGTTACCCCGGCAACGGGCTATTGACCAATGAGAAGCGAGAAAAGTGTTACGTCACTGCGATTTTTCATATACCTGTGCCCCCCGGACGTGACGTAGTGTGCTCGCGCGCGTGCAGGGTCTCTGCGATCGAAAAAGAGCGCTAGCAGCGCGCCACTCGACGCCGCAATTGTCAAAAGCGGCGTGTTAGTATGCTTTATTATGAATGATGTGTGTAAAAGTGAGTTTTTATGTTGTTTATTTGGAGAAAATGGTTGGAATAAATTAAGTTATTTTTATTTCTGTTGGTTAGAGTTTTTATTCAAAAGATTTCGGTCTATACCATTGATATTTACTGGAAATACCTTCGCTTGAATAAATTGCAGATATTTGGCAACTGAAGTGTCAGGTAAGCCTAAATGATTGTAAAAAGGTAAGATACACCCTGATTATCATTTGAGAAACGAAAATATATGAATTTTCCTTATAAAACTCGCTCAATATGCTACTCCGCGGTTTATGCCCCGAGGGTGTCCGAGGGTTCCCGTTAGTTTGTCGTTGGCGCTCGGCTCGCGCGCGAGCCGACGTCACCGCCTGTGACGTCGGCTCGCGAAATACGTCATACCCTGCACACAAAATAGCCGGCTGCCGAACAGCGCTAAGGGACTCAAGATTCTTACATACACGGCCGTGTCTTTATTTGGTTTTTATTTGGTTGTGATATACCTGTGATACCCCTGTGTGATACCTACCTACCTTGGTAGCAGCGTGCTCTTTACAAACTATGGTTGGTATTATTGTGATAAATTGAAATCATCAAATGAAAAAATGAGTTCTTATGAGTAACTTTTCGTCAAAAAAGTGAAATAGAAAAGAATTGCCCACTTCAGCATTTGTATGATGGTCTACACGCTATTTGGTTTCGGGGTTGTATATTCTGACCATAGGATATGTGTTTTGATAGGCAAATGTCTTGACTCCACTTACTCCTGCTTTTAGTCCTTTCGTACAATAGTTTTGAAAGCATTGGAACCGGACTATATAAGATTGGCTTTTCAAAAATGTGCTGAATTTGATCTCAGATTTTGCAGTCAGTATAGGCCTGTACACATTCAGCTGCTGTGCTGTTGTCAGCCGAGAATCACTCACACTATTGGCTGAAAAATTGATGACGTTATGTTGCACATGCAACATGACGTCACCTCTCTGCTGCCGGCAGCATGGGCTGACGGACTGTGCTGCTACGAGAAAGCAAGTGCAGAGATGCCGAGCCGTCAGCAAAAGCCATAAATGACGCATTTAGACACTGGTAGTGGCGCATGAAAGCAAATCACGTGCCAGATTTTTATTGAGCACTGCAGATAAATGAAATTTGGACACCATGTTGGCGCTATTCACATATATTTGGTTTCATAATTAATTGTCGATACAAGAAAAATATTTATTACTTTCGCACATTGTCAGTAAATATTTTGATAATATATCTAACTGCTTAAGTATTGTATTAATAAAGAACATGAAGATGAGACAAAAGATTTGTTTACAACGCCATATTTGTAAACAGTCAGCCAGTGCTGACATTTCTCATCAGCCAAATGTATACAGTTCCGTCAGCCAGAAGCGGTGGGCGGAGCCTATTTCAGCTGACAACAGCACAACAGCTGAATGTGTACAGGCCTTATAGTGAAATCAGCACTGCATGATCCTGGATCTGTTTGATCCTGGATCTTGCAGTCAGCTGAAATTCTATTGGTATGGTAAATTTGACTTTCACTCATCATAGTTGATAAGTGAACAATGCATTATTTAAGTTGAACAAAACCTGCTAAAAAAGGCATTTTTAGTGCATTATATTGCCACTCCGATCAATATCTTCAAAAAGTTATTTAAATAAGATATTTCATTTATAAAGATATTTCATCTTAATATGAACAGAAAGAATGTGCTGGCAAATGTTGATGACGTGTTGTAAGGTTTGAACTGATTTTAAAAGCATTATAAAGTGTGTCAATAACTCAATACTCAATGTAACATTCAGAAAAGGTGTGACAAATTGTGAAAAATCATGGAAATGTTGACTCTGGACAATATGACTATGAGTGTAGGCTACTTATCCTCTTACAAATAGTCATACTATGATTAAGTGTTCAAGCTGCTATTTTTATCCATTAACTGACCACTCAATTAAAAAAATCAACTATTAGTTTTTTATTAGAACCATCCTTGCCTCAGAGGTCTAAAACTGTGTTTCCATTGTTTGTGGTAATTTATGTGACATGACCTTTCACAGGCGGGCGCCGACATGTCTCCGACCAGCTGTGCGGCGCTGGTGGAGCTTCATCTGCAGCTGCTGGAGCTGGAGCGGCAGGCCGAGCTGGCGCAGACGCGCGACCTGCTCAGCGCGCTCTCCGTGCGCCAGTTGTGTGAGCGCGGCGTCTGCCTGGCGCGCCTGGAGCCGACGGAGCGGCGCTCGGCGCTGTACGGCCGCTGTCTGCTGGTGCTGCGGCAGCCGAGCGTCGGCCGCCAGCCATCGCCGCTGCCCAGTCACACGCTGACGCCGGGCGACATCGTCTCGGTGACGGAGGCCGGTCGGTCGCCGACCGAGGCCGGCCGGCAGGCGGTCGTGTGGCGTGTCTCGGCCGCTGAGCTGACGCTGGCCCTCTCGGAGGATGCCGACTCCGCGGAGGAGCTGGATGACCGACCGTTGACCGTGCTGAAGGTGGCTAACGACATCACCTACCGGCGGCTGCGCGCTGCCCTGGAGGGCCTGGAGACGCTGGTGGCCGGACCCGCTGGGCTGCTGCGAGCCACTCTGTTCGGTGAGACGGCGCTGGAGCCGCCGATGCCGCGCCTGCCGCCGCAGCTACTCGACCCTGAGGGCCAGCTCCAGCTGGTGAATACCAACCTGGACGCGTCACAACGCCAGGCGGTGGAGTTCGTCCTTCGTCAGAAGCGTCTGGCCATCATCCACGGTCCGCCCGGCACCGGCAAAACCACCACCGTTGTGGAGACGATCCTGCAGCACGTGCGACTGGGACAGCGCGTGCTAGCCTGTGCGCCTTCTAACACTGCCGTGGACAATCTGCTGGAGCGGCTGTGGGCGGCCGGTGCCACGCGGATGGTGCGTCTAGGTCACCCGGCTCGTATACAGGACTCACTGCAGGGGTTCTCCCTGGACGCCCGCGTTGCCGGCAGTGACGGCTCGGCGGTGGTGCGAGAGGTGCGCCGCGAGATGGACGATACACTGCGGCAGCTGCGCGCGCCCGGCGGTCAGGCGGGCGCTCTGCGCGCTCAGCTGCGCCGGCTCCGCGCAGAGCAGCGTGAGCGAGAGCAGGCGGTGACGACCGACATTCTGCGCCGCGCCGCGGTCGTGCTCGCCACTCTGACGGCCGCCAGTGACGACGGACCGCTGAAGCTGCTCGGCGGGGAGCTGTTTGACCTGGTGGTGATCGACGAGTGCTCTCAGTCGGTGGAGGCCGCCTTGTGGATCGCCGCGCGGCGCGCAGAGAAGCTGCTGTTGGCCGGCGACCACTGCCAGCTGCCCCCGACCATCGTCAGTCAGGAGGCGGCGCGCCGCGGCCTGGCCGTCTCCCTGATGGAGCGGCAGGTGGAGCTGCAGGGGGGTCAGGCGGTGCGCATGTTGTGCACCCAGTACCGGATGCACGAGCTGATCCAGCAGTGGCCGTCGGAGCGGCTGTACGGCGGCCGGCTGGAGGCGGCGCCGGCCGTGCGCCGCCACCGGCTGCCCCAGCTGGCCACCGTCGAGGAGACAATGGAGTCGGGCCCGACGCTGCTGCTCGTCGACACGGCCGGCTGCCGGCTGGACGAGGTGCAGACCGACGAGGCCGGCTCGCGAGGTAACGAGGGAGAAGCCGACATCGTGCTCTCGCACGCTCGCTCGCTGGTAGAGGCGGGTCTAGCACCTGACCAGATTGGCATCATCACGCCGTATAACCTGCAGGTGGGCCTGATCCGCGACCGGCTGCGCACCGCTGGACTGACTGTAGAGGTCAACTCTGTGGATGGGTTTCAGGGACGAGAGAAGGAGGCCATTCTGCTGTCACTAGTGCGCTCAAACAAGCGCGGTGAGGTTGGTTTCCTGGCAGAACAGCGGCGTATCAATGTGGCGGTGACTCGCGCGCGTCGGCAGCTGTTCGTCGTGTGCGACACGGCGACTGTGGGCGCCGATCCGTTCCTGAGGTCGCTGATCGACCACATGACCCAGCTGGGGGAGGTGTGCTCGGCACACGTGTACGAGCGTGACATCGGCCCGGCCACCGTGACACCGGCCGCGCCGCGCAAACACGAGTCCAAACAGAAAACAAAAGAGACTGCCAAAAACGGGAACGTCAAAGCGACAAAAGCAAAACCGGCGGCGAAGTCTGGTCAGAAGTCGACCCGTCCTATCGGTGTCCCTGTGAAACCACCGGCTTTAGAGCGGACCGAGGCTGGCGCTCAACCTGGAGCTGAAGAGGAAGTGGATCAGGAGGATACATTTGAGGACGAAGTACGTCAGAAGTTGGCAGAGTTCCTCTCCTCCTCGGAGAGCAAGCTGGCGTTCCCCGCCACCCTGAACTCATTCCAGCGGATGAAGGTTCACGAGGTATCCGAGGAGCTGGGTCTAATCCACACGAGCTGTGGGGAGGGCAAACAGCGGTATATGACGGTCGAGAGGGCGGCGGCGGCCGGCGGTGACGTGGCTGGCGACTCCAGCGCCGCCCGCAGTCCGCCTGCTCGTGTAGATGGCGCTGACGGCGTGCCGGTGGGCAGCTCTGCGGCGAAACTACCCGGCGGTGATAAGACAGTCTCTGGTGGATCCACCACGGCTGAGCGTGCAACATTTCAGTCAAACTCCGCCTCAGACCAGAGGATGGATACGTCTGAGTTGCAACAGCCGATCATCGCAACAGTCAAGTGTGAAAACTGTGGCAAGGAGATTCCAAAAGCCAATTCAGAACTTCACGCATTACGTTGCACTCGGCCATCATCACCGCCCGCCGCCGCTGCCCCCGCTACCACCACCCAGTCAAAATCCAGCAAACCGAACAAATCCAAGAAGAGCAAAAGTCGCCCTTCGGAGACGCCTGCGGAGGACGCAGACGACTTTGACTCGCTCGTCTCATCGTTTGCCAGCATGAACAAGCGCTGTAACATCGAGCCCAAGTGTTCTAGCGGCATCTCCATCCGTCAGACATGTCCCTACTGCCAGCGCGTGTTCTGCCTCTCACACTGGATGGCCGAGGCCCACGGGTGTGGCGAGGCGGCGCGCCGAGACGCCCGCGCCAAATTCATCTCGGGTGCGCAGAACCGCGCCAAAAACTCGGCCGAGGAGGAGCGGCGGAAGGCCCTCCTCCACATCAAACTGGACAAAACGCTCAACAAAATGGAGGCTGGCAGGAAGGCCAAGCCGGCCAAAAAGAAGTGAGCTGAGTAAATTTGTAGCTGATGTAACTGATAAGATGGTTGTGCCTTGTTTTGCGGATATGGTGCTAGTACTGAGTGATGTGCTCTGCTGCTGGGTGCTGACTGCACGTTGTTAACTGCTGTGATATTCTAATTTAATGTAATATTTACAGACAATTATCACGCATGTCTGTGTTTGAAGATCTCGGTCGATGTGGGATATTTGAAACGCGTTGTGGACTGGCTCATTTAAGGTCGGATCATCAGATCACGTCAACGGTTAACCCACGTCTAACGGACATTTTCCATAACGCGACTGACTGGGGATGGGTTGCCTGCATAGGCGTCGCCAGACATTTTAGGTTGGGGGGGCAAAATCAAGTTTTGTGTTAAATCTTGCCTTTCCCCAGCCGTTACCCACTCGTTTTATATATCATTCGACGCGCAATGGTGCGAGGAATCCGATGGTGACAAAGTTTTCCTTCTAGCTATAGCATGTATTTTTTTACAAAAAAAAAATCAAAATTTTGAAATTTCTGGACAAAAACGACCGGTAGAATTACAGTGGCTGCGATTGCCGACGCACTGCAGAGGGCCTCTGTGCAGACTCTCGTCGCTCTTGATCATTACCCAGAAAAAGGTGAAAAACGCTCCATTTGAATCGGATCACCCCGCTAAAACCTCCATTCACGCATGCATGCCGAGGTTTTACGTGAAATGCATAGGGCTTATCCCAGCCGCCGATTATAGCTAAGAATTGGGCATTCGGCAGAGACTGAGAGGGAATGTCGGAAGTGTGAATCGGAAGTACATCATTCATCCTTGCTGCAGTGAGAAGAAGTGTTTTGTTCACTCGAGTGTGAACAAAAAGTTTCTGGTTTTTCGAGTGAAGGGAAGCGCTGCAAACGCGACCAAAAACATTTAACGGAACCGAAAGTTACGCACGGCATAACGACAAGGGATCCCTTAGAGATAGGCTTGCGACTTCCAGGCCATTTCAGGCCACTCAGGGTCAGTGTGGACTCTCAGAAGCCTGCTTAGGATCTACCCGGAGATCGGCGTGGGTCACCCCAAATATTTGCGTGTATGTGGTGCCTTAGGATTTTCCGAACCTAAGGTGGGCCCGGAAAGCCCTTTATAGGGCACACGAGTCCTCAGAAGCCAGTGTGGGCGGCGGGCGCTAAGAGACTAGGCCCAGAGTGAGCCTGGAGCCCTCAAATAACAGTGTGAACCGTCGGGGTCTGTGCCGAATCCTTAACGACCCTACGTAGGTAGGGACATAAAAAACGTGTTGCGGCCCTCAGAGGGACACGTGAGTTGTGACCCCTCAGATGCCGGGTTGGTGTTAGTAAAGTCTGTCGCCTCAAAGGTTCGGCTGAATTATCAGAGGCCAGTTGAGGTTTTCAGAAATTTTCGAAGGCATCCTCAAAGATTCGTGTGGCCCTTCAGAGGCCTACTTGTGCCTGTATAAGGTCCTCAGAGATCCCTGTATGGGCTCTCAGAGAACATAGACACCAGTGGGACTCTCAGAGGCCGGTTTGGGCCCTCCGAAAGCTTCTTAGAGCTCAGGGGAGCTCCTTAGAAGCCTGTGTGAAAAGCAAGCTCATGAGCCCTGCGGCACTTGAACGGTACTTGTGCCTGTCACAGACATTTGACGAGAGTTGAGAAAGGCCCCGAAGATTTCGTGTCACGCTTTGAACGAAAATTATGTGTCAGCACTCCAAAACTTATGAAAATCAGCTACAAAATGTAATAAAGAACCAACTAGGATAATGGAATGAATCATAGCATTGACATTTCCGAGTCTGGAGTCGGAGTCTTGAAGATTTTGGCGACTGCGACTCTGACATTGGTTTGAACTGCACGCTCCAACAGAGTCTGACCTCACAGGCATTCTCAGAAAGGTACCCCCATTTTTTCCCGACTCCAAAATCTCATCGGATCTGTATCGATCTCAGGGGGTGCCCGGTCCGAGGTTGGGGGGGGCAAGCTGCCCCGCTTGCCCCCCCGTGGCGACGCTAATGGTTGCCTGAGTGCACAGATCCTGTGCTAGGTATGTTTGAGATCACGGGTAGTTCACAAAAGGCTGCGGGCATTTAGTGATGCGGCACACGTGTTCAGGGTAATGAAAGCCAATTAGTCAATAATGACACGCTGTCCGATGCCGTTTGAGCAGCGACTTGAGGTGCGTCTGAGGTGCTGAGAACAGAATGGTGTTTTTTTTTCCTTATACCGAGGTATAACGAGGTATCATTCCACATACTATAGTACTTTGTAACAGGGCCTCGGCTAACATGTTAACTACTGGGGCAAATGCCCCAGTAGAGTCGAGGAATGCCCCAGTAGTGGTCAGGCCTTGCCCAACCTCCACAAAATGAGAATATATCAACATTAACGTACATTCTTTCATTCGGGAGCGGTTGAAGACGTTTGTGGCAAGAAATCAGGGGCGGCGGAAGAGGGAGTGCACGGTGTGCAGCTGCACCCTCAATTTCAATCCAAAAACATAGGTATGCATTGGCAAACATATCTTTTTGCACCCCATAATCCATCTACGTTCGAAAGAGCGTCAAAAATAATGACGAAATAACCTCGGCCGCTTTTTTGGTCAGGTCAATGGACAGGTCATGGTGAAGGCCAAATTTTGCCTATTTTCAGGTCGAATATCGACAGTTTACAAGATGCCGACGCATAACTCGGGAATCAATTACAGCTACAGCACCGCGGAAAAGCGCATTTGATAGCCATATTAGCATGCTTTCTGGTTATTTCTCTTAGATTTGACCTAACGTCAACGGTTTTGCCTGCAAGGGGCAAAAACTACCAAAATAGACGATTTTTTGGGAACAGTTTTTCTGCTATAACTTTTGACTCGTGCCTTGCACGAGCTTTCTTTTACCGACATCGTGTTCCTCTCGTCAAGACGCATCAAATTAGCTAGGGGAAAGTGGGGTAAGACGGGCACCTTAACTTTGGAGCCATTTTTCGGCCGGTTAGAAACATCATAGAAACGGGAAACTGGGTGAAAACCTTTTTCAGACATTTTACTTTCATTTGCCAGAAGATGAGACTTAGACCTGATTCAACAAATAAACTGCAGCTATTTTTGCAAAACCTTGCAAAAACCCGTCTTACCCCACCCCATGGGGTAAGACGGTCACATGGGTAGGGCAAGACGGCCAGCTTCTTTCACCGATCAGCGCAGCTCGCAACAAATGCCCGAGATTAGCCGCATTTATACAGTCGCTCGTTGGTCTCAAGTGCTTCGGAAATGGCAGTATACGAGATTCGTGCAGAAGGCGTATGCTCCTATATAGGCCCTAGTTCAGAAGCCATGTAGAACCGTTTTTCACATTCATTATTCGAGAATAAACTGTGCCGAAGGAATATTGCTAACATGTCTGTGAGTATCGGAATCGAACATATTCTTATTAGAAATGCTTCTTTTTTCCTACAGCAACAAAAATATTTTCACCATTACAGACCCATTGGGTTCATAGTTGCCCGTCTTACCCCAAACTCAATGTCAGAAGTTCAGCACGATTTTTCGCTGTGGACAATTTGATGCAGACAAAGCAAATCCGCCGTAAATGAACACTGTTGGCATATGAGTGTACCACAAGTGATTGCGAGTTTTTAACTCTATAGTGCTGTACACAAAAGCTTGCACAATACATTATGGATGTTTTCAATGAAATGAGTGTTTTAAAGAAATCAAAATAAAAGATTATCGACTGAACACAAATTCACCAGACTTGAATGGTGGTGTGTAGTGGGAAAGGCAATTCTGGTCCTAACTTTTCTTGCTCGTAGCGCTATTGGTTTGGTCTGCAGAAGGGGTGCCCGTCTTACCTACCCTGACCGTCTTACCCCACTTTCCCCTACAATTTGACCTTTAAGGTCAACTTAAAAATTCGACCTCAGGTCAAGGTCACGATCTGACCGGAAATTGTCATGTTGCATATCAGTCGATCTGATCGTCGAGCCAAACACAACTAAGGTATTTTCATCGCTCTAGCATGCATCTTTCAAAAGTTATTCGCGAAAAAACTGTTAGATACCATTCGTGAACTGAGATTACCTCAGTGGCATAAGTAAGGGTCACGGGTGCTATTTTCATGTTCAGTGTGTCAAAGTCACGTACGGTGTTTTATAGTCTTTAGAATGACTTTCGTCCAAAAGAGGTGGTTTTGAATTTTCTTCCATTGACTTCTAATAGAGGTCGCAAAATTGAGCTGACCTTAGGTCACCGATATGAAAATTCCGACATATAAATTTTGTACATGCTGTTGCCCTATCAATCGCTGAAAGTTTCAAAGCGATCGGTCACTCGGTGTAGCTACGGCATACCTACATTGAAACATTTTATGAAGTGAGGTCACTTGAAGTGACCTGGTGACCTGATCTTGAATGACCTTGATCTGAAATTTTTACAACACGTGTAGAATTGTTGGATGATGGAGCGCCGCCGCTTTTGAGATATCCGCGAAAAAAAAAACACAGGAAAACCGCAGGTGTTCAAACACCTCCCCCCCCCCCCAGCAGGGCGCCAACGGCAACACACGTTAACGATTTGCCCCAGTAGTCAAAATTCCTTAGCCGAGGCCCTGCTTTGTAAGGTTGGATGCCAACTAGTCTATTTCGATTAAGATCTTGCGTGACGCTATACCTACCCAGGGAATTGAAGGGAACCTATACAAAGTCACTACGGTCATTTGAGGTCACTGTCTTTTTGTCAATGATTGGATCAAATTGAGTTAGCGAGTTAGGCAAGCCACCAATGAATTCAAAATTGACAGCTGAATCGAATGATATGCAATATGACCTCCTTTGACCAGCTCCTGACCTAAGGAGTGGTTACTGAAGATTTTTGACGAGACGAATTTCGGTACACGTGTTCATATATCTTTTCCACACGTGTTGTGAAAATTTCACTGGGTCATTCAAGGTCGGGGCAACAGGTCACGTCAAGTGACCTAACCTCAGAAAAAGTTCAAAGGCTCGCTATAGCTACACCGACTGAATATGACTTCGAAACTCCCGCGCACCGACGGGGGGGGCGGATATCCGCCCTCCCTGAGGTTTTTCGCGAATAGCGGGAAAACCGCGGCGCGTAGCGCCGTGAAATTTGGTACGACTATTCCCTCATCAATTTTACACATGGTGTGCAAGTTTGAACCTCCTACCTTTCAAGGTCAGGTCACCAGGTCACTTTGAATGACCCAACCTCAAGTCACTTT